AGGAATGATGGTGATTTGTGATATATTTCAACAGTGCATAAAGAAGAGGTGGAAAACTGACAGGGACAGAAAGTAGTAAGGGTGATGCTAGGTATTAAGCAGCAGTTTCTGAATACCCAGGCACTTCTGTTTTGCTGTTTCAAAGGACAACTGATGCAAACTTGATAGTACAAGGGAGTTGGGGGAACAATCAGAGTTGTTTTATAGGCTAAAGAAAAAAAGTCCCCACAGTTTCTGTGATGATGAAAGCAATCTAAATACACAGGGTTTTGGAAAGAACTGTAGTAAAAAGCAAAACTGTCTGAACGCTTCATGATAGTGCTATGCCAAGACCATCATTGGCTTTCTAACCCATAGAGAGGGTTTCCAGGAACAGGTGGCAGAATAAATTTCAATACTAAGACAAGAGAAAGAGCGATGATATAGTTTCATACATGTGGGCTGCTCAAGGGGGCAAAAAAATATGAAGGTGTAAAGATATAAATATTTTCTCTGATGGCACAACTGACGTAAGTTCCTGTCCCAATATATATTTCCAAATTCTCTTGTTGAACTTACTTATGGAAATTCACTGTAAAAAGATTTAATTAAATGCACCAAACATAAAAAATCCTCTTTAAAAAGTTGGATGCTTTTTTCACTTTACAATCATTGCTTTGGCCTGTTTCTGTGGGGCCAAGAAGTCAGGCTCAGGATGTTTTTAAGCTGACCACTGGCAGAGAATGTGTGTCTATAATACCCCCCTCCCCGCACTCCCATGAGTTTCATATTCGTGAGCAAGAGCTAGCCTATAAGGCACTTTGAAAGAGAACAAAGAGCTCAAATGCCATACAGGATGGGAAAACTGGGAAGTCAGCGAGACACAAAACAGGAAGAAGCCTGTGCCAAGTAACAGGCAAACATATGCCAAACCTGTGTCACAGGACAGAGATCAAGCCTGGAAAATGAGGACGTAGGGGCGTTCCCAGCATCTACATGCAATTTTTGACTGTATTGTAGGTACCTGAGAAAGTAAATGGTTCAGGTTTGTTCTGTTTTGTTTTTAAACACATAGCTAAGTGGTTTTTGACTGTATTTCTGGTAATCATTCAGAGTTATACTGCTTGCATAACCCGTTCATCTTGTAATTACTTAATAACCTACCTGCCGAGCCTTGCCAAAGTAGCACCCTACCAAGGTTCTCCTAGCAAGAACAGAAGTGACTAGAGATTAAGCTACCAAAGCGTCACTTCTTTGATTTCATTATCTGTGGATACAATATTTACATACACTTCTTGTTCCTAACCATCAACTGCAATTAGTTTTACAATACACTAATCCATCAGACTGGGTGCTATCATGGAAAAGAGAGGAAATCCATATGTCTGCTCAGCTACCTACATTATAGCACGGCTGCCAACATCCCGCTGTAATTTTTTAGGGCTGGGTATGTGCATATGCATGTCCAGTTGTTAAGCACCAGGGAAGAACACCAGTACCTAAATCCAGCTCTCTTTATGGAGTAAAAATACATATTTAATAAAATAATTACATTCTTTATACTCCTACAGTGACTTCTGTTAGACAGAGTGTTTCAGTGCCTTAAGCAAAGCCACTCAGCAAATATGCTATACAAGAAATCTGACTTACGCATCTCTGCTAAAGAGCAAACACAAAAGTAGGCAGTGTTTCCAAAATATATCCGACCTTGCAGCTCCAAAACACCTTAATGGTGTTTAAATAACTTCTTACTTTCAATTATGTATCTGCCGAAATGTGAAAGGCTTTGAACAAAAATATATGCATTTGTTCCAAATCAAGGCATACTTTAAGTTTCTTTCTCAAGCCAGAAAAGTTCATGAACTAAGCATCCAAGCCCTACTTAACAGACAGCACAGAGTTAAGCACCATGCACTCGATGGGTAAGCCTGAAGCAGCCTAGTATCAGCTCAGCTTCAGAGCTGCTGCAGCAAATCCCATGACCAGCTAAGCCTGCCCACACTGAGCCCAGCAGCGGGCACTTTAGCCAAGGCAAAACCAGCAGAATTGCCACCGGCTGCTTAGTGCTGAGCAGCTCTGCCCACACGAAACCATTTGTGGTGCTGTGCTGGATTGCCAGATGTGGGACTACTACCACTCCTCGGGAATGCCTGGGAAGCTGGCACACGTTTTTAACACCCACTTTATGTACAAAAAAAGCCAGCAGAAGTTAATGTTTGATGAGGAGCTTCAATCACCTCGCTAAGAGTGCTTACTTAAAAATTGCATTACCTAAAAATCAAATGCTTTTAAGGGTTCATGTCTCACTAACTTCCTTCACTTTCATTTTTAAAGTGACCTGGATGCTTAAGTAACCATAAAGGTTACCCAATATCTACCAAAGGGGAATTTACCAGGATATAAAAGTACCTATTGCAGGTTACTATTACATAATAACCTACGTGGCTCAATACAGTGTGGGATCTATACCATCCAATATGGAAGGATATGGAAGGTCAGTGAAACATGATAATCACACAGACCTCATTAAGGAAACCAAGATAACCAAAGCATATCACAAATGATACCACTCCAACTGAATAGTCTGCAAGCTCTATTCACACCAAAAGTAAGGAAATGAGCTGGGAAATTCTGTTTTATTAGCTCCTTTTAAAGGCTAACCATAAATCATGTATTACCACTTTTATTTCCTATACAATGGAAAACTTACATCATCATTTAGTGTACAAGTAATACACAGTCATGAGAGGAGGTTATGCTTCATCCATCTCCTTCCTCTTCTTTATTCCCACAATACAATTTGCTTCTCTCCGGATATGAATGCTTTTCCGATTCAGCCAACACGCAAGGGGTATTTTGTCCTCCACCCTGTGCTGCCAACACTGCAATTACCAATCTCTTCAGTCCAAGAGCAGGAGGTAGTATACGCTAAATCTTAAATTTTAGAGTCACAACAAGTGCTGAAGCAGTCTCTATTTCTGAAATACTAACTGTGTAACTGCTCATAAAAACGAAGCATTTCAGTAATCCTAAAACCCAGATAAAATCAGGCAATTGCAGTCCTGCCCGTGGCTGGTCTTGTACTACAAGACAAAGATAGACTTGAAAGGACCCACATCCTCCTTGAAGCACTTGGAGAAATAAAGGAAAGGGACAGCACAGCATTACATCCCTGAGCACCATACCTGTGAAACTCACGCCAGGCTCAGAGGCTTCCTCGCCAAGGCAGCAGAGCAGCTTGCCCTCTTTGCCATAGCTGCTCGACTGGAAGAGGACCGTCCCCACAATCATGCTGTGCTTCGCAGCAAGCAGAAGAGGCTGCTTGACACGAGAAGTCCTGGGCTGCCACTGCCAGCACAAATGCCACCACTTGCCGATGGTCGCTGCTGGCAAGGCTGGCGGCCAATGAAAAAGCAAGTGCTGCTGAGCAGGCAAAGGAGAAACTGGGAAAATCAAGCTGCAGGTTAACGTGGTTATTAGCTGGAAGTGAGGGTGGAGCTTCCCAGGGAACGCTGAACAAACAGAGGATGTGGGGACTGGACTGCAAGTTGAAACAATTTTGAGATGAGCTATGAAGACAGAGTTTTGTTCCACTAAGAGTTAGGCAACAAAGCGTTTGGGAAGAAAGCAAACAGTTTCCTTGGAGAAATTCCTTCATACAAATTACAAAACAGATCACCCATTAAGGGGACCACCCAGATTGATTCATTCTTCCACTCCACATACCATTGCTGGAGCACTATTTACATGAATCAACAGGAAACGATGTTAGTGAAAATACACATCTAAGAGACGTACAAGCACTGAGGAAGTAAACTCTCTTGAACATTTCAGGATTTCAGAAAGAAACAGAAAGCAAGGGCAGTACAGTATTCCCAGTCTGAGCTGCATATCTGCTGATTTAGTAAGACTCAGGACAGCTCTCTGAAAGGGCACTATCAAATTACCTCTCAAAAAACGTAAGATTTATTGGATGGGTTCTTTAAAAGCCCTACTTTTCTAGCAAAGGCTGTATGGTTTGTAGCTGGAAAGGCTCCTCCTAACATGTGGACAAGGAAGGGTTAAAGAAGAACAAGCCATCACCATAGCATACTCACACCTGGGAGGGTGGTGGGCCTGCAGAGGGGTATAAAAGGGAGCAGGGAAAGGGAAGCAAGTGGTTTGGCCATTTGTAGGGGAGAAGAGCTGTTGCAGCACACCAAGAAAAAAAAAAAGCAGCATTTCTATAATCCATAAAATCCACTGTTCTGTGAGAAAGGCAGCTGCACCATGTGATGAGGACTCAGATCAGGCTAAAGGTAAGAAATGAGCAACCTGGCTTATTCCAAATGTTTGCGTTTTGTAACGCTGTGGATGTGGAAAAACACTATATAAAACTGTGGATATGCTGTGGTGATGAGGATTTGCTTTTCCCCACATGGCCTGTGATATGAGTCATTTCCCCTGCCACCATCACCTAATGTATGTGGAAAAAATAACGAGACAAAGAAAATGCTTTAGGATACCTGCATACTGTTGTCTTCCTAAAGTTCTGACAAGTGGGTGACCTTCTTTCCTTCTCCTGCAAAACCAAACTCGGTGAATCCTGCAGTGTGCTACTCAGTAATTATAGGCTGAGATACCTTTACTTAAAAATTCCTAGGCTTTATCTCTTTCCCCTTTGTTTCTTCCTCTTGCAGTTTATTGTTTTCTCCCCTCTCTTCTGTGCTCTGAGTACTCTTAATTACACTGTATTTGTACTAACCTTTGTGTTTCTATTAACACACAAAGAATAAGCAGAATCTGTAGGCAAAGAGGACATAGTCTCAGAAACAGAAACACATGGATAAGCATTGTGACAAACAAGCTTTTCAGGTGGGTCTGAAATGGTACCAGGAAATGGCAAGCTATATATGGATCTGTGACTACATTAGTCTTAGCTGTAATAGTTAAGAAAGTTAATAACCAATTTACTTGTTAGTTAAAATATGGCAGATCAGTAATTGGTATCTCTGGAATAAAGAAGGAATAGCAGAAAGTTAGATTGGATTAATAATGTAACTTGTAAATGTATCTATTGAACCTCTTAATTTTAGCCTCTGTATCCTTAGCCAAAGCCTAATGGCTGTCTGGTCTGTTAACGAGCTCCTGATGTGAATCAAGTAGTGGCCAGTACTGGCATTATGGGCAAGTAACATTTTGTCTGTAAGCTTCTTGTAACAGGGCAATTCTGTCCCTGCACCCTTCCAGCCACCCTCCTGAAGGTGTTTCTTAGCGGGAGGGACATGGGGTGTCCATACACAGTGCATAGCTGTTCATAAGGTCCTGTCAAATGCACCCAGGCAGAATAAAATCAGGTATCTTTCTATCTTCTAGATGAGCATTACTTCTTTTACAACTGATTTTCCTAGATAGTTATCTTACACTGTAGGCCATCACCTTGACATCCGCATCCACCACATCTGCATCCTGTTCCTATTCCCTTCACGGTAAGTACACAATATAACATCGTAATTCTGTATACTCAGCTTCCTCAGTGGAAGAATCCACCTTTCAGGCACAGCAGCTCTTCAGACTATTCCCTGTGGTGCCCTTCAAAGCTGTTTCCTGAGAGCAGTTACCCTTCCTGTACAACTTAAATCATCCATTTAGAAACATTTCTCTAGTTCTTCCAGCAGTGGGAAAAAGTTGAATATAAGGAAATCTTGCTGACTATGCTACTTTGAAATGTATAGTTCAGGGAACTTCTAAAAAAATTCGCTGTCCTCTGAATTTATGAATCAACTGTCAGCGTCTCAAACAAAAGAATGTGTAAATAGCAGTACAGCTCTGAAAAGGATTTGGTAGGGTTGGCAGCAGGTCAAAGTGACTGGTTTGTCAATGGAAGGAAGAGAGACAAAGTAAGGGTTATAGGGTAAGTACTGGTTATTGCATACGGTCTCAATCTGATATCTTAGCATTTTACATCAAAAACCATAGGGTGTATTTATGTGTGTGTGTATATATATACACACATGGTGTTCTATCTTCTGGCCTCTCACATGCCTCTTTCACAAAGGGACACTTGAATACAAGGCCACCGAGATCCCTGCATATGCCACATCTTTCACTTTATTTTCACTTTGAGTTTTCAAACTGAATACCAATATAAATATCCATGATGATATTTTACACATAGACTCATTTTATATGCTTGCTTTTAAGACTACCAAAGAACAGACATTGGTCAACTTAAAGCACAGAAAGTAGACCACCAAGTAACTAGCAACTGCTAGTATAATTGGTATTTTCTACTGCATCTTCAAAACGTACATCACTAGACTTCAAGATCTTTAACCAGCTTGTTAGTGGGAGGATTTCTGCCTTAATGAATATGAGGAAACAAAATTGATAACACAGCAGCAAGTGGGTTTCCTATTTTGCTGACACGATTGGAATAGTATCAAGTTCTACAGTAGCTTTGTTTCTGAAGCCAAGTCTCAGCACTTCCTACTAACCAAAAATACTCAAGGCAAACTACATACTAAAAAGCAAACCAATGCTGAACAGGCCAAGTTCCTGCTGTCTAATAATGTGGTAGCATAGAAGCAGACCTATGAACTTTCTTTACCTCATAACAGACTTCAGCCCTTACCTAAACGGACCACCTAGTCTTTCTGCTGACATACATGTGGCCATGAAAAACACCAGTTTAAAGAGTTCAGGCAGCTCACATATGGCTTTGGTAAAATGCAGGCAACCTAACTAAATGCCATTCCTAGGTGTTCCTCTCCTGCAAGCAACCAGACTCTTAATAATGTGGTTTGCTTGAGCTAGGCGCAGATCCATAGTTAGTCTTTGGGCCTCCCACAGAGCGGTGCAAGGTTTAAGTATTGTAAACAACCCACTGAATAAAGCCAAGAAATACAGCTTCAAGCCAAGAAATTGGGATGGGCAAGGAATAGGTTTCTATTTATGGTACCAGGCTGGGAGAGACAGAATGGGAGGAGATTTCAGTGTCAGTGACAAAATTGCATCATGAACAGCTCACATCATATAAAAAGAAATGTTTCAAGCCAAGCTGGTAGCACTGTCTTGCCTCAATTATCAATATATCTGAAATAGAAAAGGTTAATAAAAGTGATCTTCAGTATCACAGAGAGAAATATATGGAGAAACCTAAAAGTTCTCCATACAGTTCACCTCCTAAATGCAGATTTATTTTGTAGCATGACAAACTGCTGCATGAGGCATTCCCCTGCACTTATTTAATGGTTAAAGTGGTGGGTCTTCACCTCAAAGACACGCTTTTTGGCTAGCTTGATATAAAAATCCAAGGGAAGACAAGGTTTGGGGTTTTGGTGTCAATGAATTTTAACTGGTAGAAGGAAACACACAGATTGATCTCAGCTAGTTACATCAGCGCATAAAGAATTCAAGACATTGTCTGTCTACCTGAACATGACAAGAGGTTAGCTCTGTTAAGATTAAAACAAACTGATGTTGATAGAAGGAACTGCCTGTCTTCTGTTTCACTGGTTCCAATTATCCTCTGCCTTTGTTATTAATGCTATCAAACATTCAGAGGTGTCCCTCAGCCTGTTTCCTTGCTCGGATGTCAGTGACACATAGGTATACCATTAGTCCCAATACTAACCTAATGCAGGACTTCCCTGTTTTTTTCCTTAACTTCTTCCTGGTAAAGAAGTATCTTTTTGGTACAGAACACAGAATGAAATAAATCAAGCTTAAGGTCCAAAGTATTAACTTGAAAATCTTCATTCAGTTGATTTCTTCATACATCAACAACTGTATAGGCTGTAAGTGAGCAAACCTTCTGCTGAAGCATTTGGTAGCATTGCTGTTTTAAGAGAGAATTTCAAAGTAGATGAAGTATTGATCATCTTCAGTACAAATGCTGCTAACTCTACAGACTGGCTCTCATTACCTCTAAGACTTTCTGTCCTCACAGAACTTTGGCAGGCAAGTGACTCTGGGATAAATGTAGCTAGCAAAATGATGCAGGTTTTTAGATGCATTTAAAAAACACTTCAGGGTGAGGAACTCATGTGATCACAGGAGAGCTGGTCCTAACAGTTATTAAAAGGTGCAACAGATGTTTCCTGTCACAGGTACTGAGAATGGTCAGAAGCATGAGAATCCACTCAAAGTACCAATCTGCCTTCTTTGAATGTGCCTCTGGGTGAGGAACCAAAGCCCAACAGCACAACAGATAATAAGAAATACACTTTCCTGAAGTGAGAGAGAGATTTTAATTACATTAAGATGATACACAAAAAGGATTTTAGAACAAAAAGCTACAAATGTAACCT